CTTCTGGAGCACATGGGATCATCCCCTGTTTTTGGTGGGGTTCGTGTTGCTCAGTCTTTAGTTATCTGTGTTGTGTTTTGTAGACCTTAGTTTGTCTGTTGGTCGTTTTTCATTTATTGCCATGGCATTGTCGTTGTTCGACCTGCGAGTTTGACTATCCCTTTGGTATCTTCCGCCTCTCTCTCTCTCTCTCTCTCTCTCTCTCGCTCTCTCTCTCTCTCTCTCTCTCCGTTTTTTTCATAATTTGGTCATATGTTCGAAAATACGGCCAACTTTAAAACCTCAAGGTACACATATGAATCTATGGTAAAGCGAATTTTAGTTTAGTTAAACTTGAAGGACATTAAGAAAATGGCACACATGTGAAAAAGAATGAAGGGAAATTGGGCCTACTTCTTTGTTTTTGTATTCATACACGTCGTAATTTACATACAAACTTGTATGACACTACAAAATATCGGATAGTTGGTTCTTTAATCTCATCTCCTGATATATGTATCAAATAAGTTGATATGTTACAAATTGAAAATACCCTGATTTCTCATCCTAATATAGGCAAGGATTTAATCCTAATATAGGATGCAGAAGATAAATAAAAAACGAATAAAGCTTGATATTTTACATCTAAACCCCTAACAAAAAGACAAAATATAAAAGAAATCATCCTAAGAGTACTCACATTAGCTAAAACCTATTTCAAAGCCAATTCCAACTAATAAATCAATAAGGTTATCTCAGATTAAACATCTATCAGAACACACACAATGGATTGAGTGTAAGACCTCATAAACAGTAAAAAAAGCATGGCCTTGTGCAATGCCAACAGATAAGTATCGACGACAAGATCACTACATACATGTATATGTTCTTTTGTGTATTGAGGGGCGCACAAACTAAAACGCATAAAATTTACAAGGGTTTTCTTCTGATTTTTATAGGGTCATCTAGTGAACTTCCTGAAGAAATTCATTTGCTGACCTTATTTAGAATTATTAGGAACATTATATCGATTTAACATTTCACTTGCTTTTCGAATTCCTGTACCAATAAAAACGGAAAATACTGATTGCGGGGTTAGGCGTGACAGTTGCTTGCAGTTATTCACAACACCAACAAAAAACTGCATTTCAGAGATTTACTATTGTCAATTTTGTACTCATTTTCATATGGTAGAAATGTCAAGTTTGTTATTATTAACAATGTTGTTTTCATTTTGTTTACCCTTGTACTTATATTTTACTTAATTTGTACCTTTAAGTGTTTACTTTATACTGAATGTACTATGAACTACAAAAACGTCTTGTTAGCGTCTTTGTCAAATTTACTATCAACTACACAACGAAGTCTTTGTTATATTTATTTATAAAAATAAGGAGATGTTTTATGATTGCAAATAAGACAATTATCCACGAAAATTCAAATGAAGCGGATGTAAGCAATTATATGCAACCGTACGGCCTTTAACAATGAGAAATTCCCATACCATTTAGTCGGCTATAAAAGACCCGGACATGAAAATATGAAACCATTCAATGAGAAAACTGACGGCCTAATTTATAACAAAGTAATTTACGAAAAACAAAGAGACATGAACCAACGCCAACCACTGAAATACAGGCTCCTGACTTGGGACAGACTTAAGAACAATGTGGCGCTGTTAAACATGTTTGAAGGCGCCAACCCTCCCCTAATCTGGGATAGTGGTGAAACAGTACAGCACAAGAAAAAACTATAAAAATTAGTTGACAAGGCCGTAACTCAACAGATCGATACAAAGCAGAAAAAAACATCTAGCAAAGACACAGACTGGACGTGGCAGGGAATTTATACATGTCTTACAACAAAAAAGACACAAAGTACATATCTGAGAGTACTCGTAGTTACTAACAGCTAATTCAAAGCCAATAACAACTAATAAAAAAATACTATATAAAACTAAAATATCAATCAGTACACATCCAACATCCAATAGATTTAGTTTACAGACGTCATTTACAGTTCGAAAACACATGACCTTGTGCCAGGCCATATTTTAAGTATCGACAGGTTGTAGAACCGTGAATGTGCATATGTGAACAGCAATAATATTTAGCATGGTCTTAATTAACTAAATTTTAACTGATAATAAAAGCAACATTTATACCAATAAAAAAATAATCAAAGATTTAATTACAGTTTTGAATTGGTAACCTTTCAGAATAAGTTTATTTAAAGGATTGATAAGTTTATCCGGATCGTATCTAAATTTCCTGGCTCGGTAAACAACATCACCGTGCTATTCCGTTTGAAGTATGTTTTCTACAGGTACAGCAAAACTTTTAAACCAAATCTTTGTATCGTTGGAAGAATTTAGTAAAGGTTTTCAGGAATTTGTGGTATTGTAATCCTTGACTTAATAATTTACCAGTAATTCATATATTACGCTCATTTGAAATCCAACACATCACTACAGACACGGACAAAGCGAACGACTTTGGATAGATAAACACCGTAAGACGGTGCCAAAGGAACTTCACCTTCCAAAAAAAGGAAAATTAACAATAGGAATAGAAAGATCGTGTGTTTTTCCGTGAATTTTTGTGTAGAGTTTTTCTTGTAAAACTGAAATATCTTAATCTAGGAAAGGACAGTTATTTCTGTTAATATCAAATTTATCTAAAGTAACATCCTTTGGGTAAATTTCGGCAGTATATTAAGAGAATTCTTGATTATTTAACGAAAATATATCATCACGATAACAGTAAGTGTTGTCGAATTTATCAATTAAATGGAACTTAGACGGGTGTTTACTGTATTATTGTTTGATTTTTCAGTCCGTTGTGTTGAATATCTGTGATGTATATTTACACAGTTTTATCTGCTGGATCAAAAACATTGTCACATTAACCTATTATGTCTGTTTTCTGTTGCTCTCCCAATTTTGTCAATATAATGGAACTATAACAACTGCCATACATGTGTGAGGTTTAGCAAGCTATCACCAAAAATCGGAAAATGCCTGTACCAAGTCAAGAATATGACAGTTGTTTTTCGTTCGTTTCGTCTTACGTTTGATATTGTCAGTTTTTATGGACTTCTCTTTTTTGAATTGACCTTGAAATTCGACATTTTTGTTAATACATTTTTACAAGTTAGAGAATGATATCGAATAACACTAAAATGGGTACAAATGCACCATATGATTGATAATTAGTGCATATAATTATTAGCTTCGTTATAACTAAGATCATTGACAAAGATTGTATGGTCAGATTATGTTATTTCATTTCTTTTGTATTGCAAAGATCAACTAGCTTACATTTTTTACTTATATAAACTAATCTTGATTGTTTATATTAGAAGAACGATTATGGATTTTCATTACCTGTAACACTTTCAGATCGGCAAATACCCTTACAACTTTTAATAGTAATTAAGTACTAACGATTATGAATTATTTGACCGAATAAACAATATAATGGGGAATGTAACAAAATGACGAAATGCATGGTACAATTACAGTAATTCTAGTTACAATAATTTAAGTCCATTTCTAAAAATAATAGGATCAATCCTTATTTTTTGGTTTTTTGCCAAAGATCTCTAGATTAATCCAATTATGACACGGGTTACGAATATTTGTTCTTATATGCATAAATCCAATATTGTTTTTGTAATACGGTTAATGATATACAAGAACTTTTTATTGTACGAGTTTTGTGAACGAAATCGGAATAAATATAATCTTTTAAACTATTTTTATAATGCTTAACATCTGCAAGATATCACATAAACAGTGAAACAAATACCACATATCTCCAAGTTTAACAACATGCTTTATAAAGCAATAAATTAGCAAATATATATATACACATACTATAATTTGTGGATTTTGGTTTAGGTGTGTAGATTTTTCCGGAAGGAAATCAAGTATGCTTTAGACCAAAAGTTTGAGAAGCTAAAATGGTAAGGCAGATGAGAGTATCGAAACCAAAAGGGGGTCTAAAGATTAGCGAAAAATGGTCTGAAGTTCTTTTACCGGAGTTGCCACCTAAGATAAATTACAATAATATAATCAAAAATATAAAAATATGAATGAATATATAGCATCGAACTTGTTTATCTAAATGATATAATTCATCGGTTTCTTTCTAGCCCACACATAATGTAAGTGTACAACATTTTTAAATTATGGCAATACCTAGCCAGACAGATTTGTTGTTATAACTGGCAAAATTGTGAATGCTTGTTTCTGAAAGGAAAGGAATCTCGAAAAAAACATAAAAATGTACACTGTACTTATCAAATAACGTTTAATAAACTTAAATAGCCCAATCAACACTAAAGCTTTTCTCATTGCTGATCATCTCTACACTTTTTTCCTATTTTTTTTTAACCCTTCCCGTATTTTTCTAGCTTTTACGATTTTTCATAAATGTGTAACGTTAAATAGCAATGCCTTTTGCAATCATTGTGTCTTGGGAATTCTAATAAGACAGACTAAATACTTTATTTTTCTTCAATTTATGTTTGTAGTATCGTTAAATTGTGCAAGGATTCTGTTCGGTTTGTTTTTGGATTGTTTGTTTGTCTAAAAAGTGAAAATATCTGTTGATTTTGTATTTGACATTTATCCATGATTGAATAAGTATCTTCTAAAAAGCCTTGGCTTTATGGTTGATTAGGGACTGCAGCTGGTCCCTTTAATGGTTTGTCTGGAATGAACTGTTTCAAACTGTTGAATTAAATCACATTTATTTTTATGTATTTTTCACTTTTTGTTTTATTATAGTGCAAATCGCCTTCTTGATACAATACATATGAATTAGGGTCTGTATGTGGGTTTAAAGAATAGAGAATAATAGGAAAACAACAAAGAAAAAAGGTTAAAAGATAAAAAGAATAGAAAGAATAGCGAAACAATAGACAAAAAAAAAGACTAGAGAAATTAAAGACCCAAAACCACCATAAATCAATATGATTATCATCCGTTCACCATATACTAACTAAGATCAAACTAATTCACTGTAGACTTTGTTTATTTAGAATATACAAAGAAACGATGAATATATATTGCCAACCACACTTTTAAACGCTAAAAAACTGAATACTGATAAAACAAATATAACAACATGAATATCAAAAACCAAATGACAAATGAAATAATGTTTTTTATGTAATTATGATGAGATTAATTTAGTTTAAATATAACAATGATGGCTTGCATTTGCGCTGTGTATGACTGGTCAGTTGACCAACTGTCTATTTAAATCTTCAACACACACCATGCCGTTACAATTGAAACAGCAGTGAACAGCAGAGTCGTCAACGGGAAAGATACGGTCACTGAAATAAAAGTTAACATTAATCATTTCATTTCTAGATTTATATTGAATCCGAATATTTGTCCTTTGGATATTTCACAACTTTTGAAGATTATATGTTTTTTTTTAATTCAACAAAGAGGAAATTTTGCTTGTACAATATTATTTCTACTGGGATGTTTTGTTTAGCAACTTGTTCTCTATTCTAACTTATTTTTGGTATAATACAACAGAACGTTTCACAGGCAAATAAACTATTTAATACCATGAAGTCTTTTTTCCGAAATGTTCACTGTTAACACGAGAACTATTTACTGTTGGTTCATTTTTTGTTCTTGAAAAAACACTTTGACAACTTATTATCAGCAAAACTTGGTCGGAGTTAAAATTAAAACTGAAAATGTTTAGTTCATGGTTGTACACCTCCGATTCAAATTGAGGAGTCTCAAATAAAACAAGAAGAAGGAATTGCTAATTTGTTTGTTATTTTGGTTGAATAATGGAAATTATATATAATTGAATTTTTCAGATTTCAGGTTTTCAAAATGCTAAAAATATATTAAAGTGATTAAGAATTAAAAACGGTTGACAGTGTGGTAGAACCAGCTCTTATTATAGAAAGACTGATTGGAACTTTGACGAATAGAGTGTCACACTTCTACTGTGGCCAGAGCTCGAACACTGTAGCACAACTTATTATCAGTTAAATTTGGACAGTGGGACAAAATGTAACCTATGTACTTCTATTAGAACTCATTAATGCCTCTTCTGATCAGTTCGTGGAAGTTGAAAGTTGTAGCACCATTTATTGTAAAAGTTATGTACTTACTGTGAACAAAACTTAGATAATATGATCATACTACACTTACTATGCGCAGAACTTGGACACGTTGCTAAAACATTAGCATCACAGGTAGCATATGTTGTAGTCTCGTCACTACCATCGTCACAATCTTTGTCACAATCACAAACAAACGCTTCATCGATACATGACACACTACCTCCATAGCAGGTAAACCAACCACTTGGACATAGCTGAATATATGCAAAAGTGACATTACATATTGTGTTTTATCGAATTTGTAATGCTGAGTTGATGATATCATGGATATACTATTCTTAAGTAATTTTGTCATTGCTGAGACAATTTGTCTACCGTCAACGTTTGTCTAAATCAAGGAATATTATATTTTGTTTTTTCAAAATCAACTGATATTTTTATTTCATATGAATATCATTGTAATATTAGAGAATGTATAGAAGGTAATTGCTGCAATTTAATAAGTCTCATGCATATATAAACAGTTTTATCAATATTAGATCATTAAATGCTGTTTTCAAATTTTGCGTGCAGAGTGTATAAGACAAGTGTTTTGAAGCCGTGTTGTGCTTTTCAGTCTGTTTTCTGACCACATGTTTAATTATACGACACTGCTTCTTAATATTTCTACTTACCTGAACGTATTGTCCTGCAGACGCAACTGGACACGCATTAGTATTACAATCACCAAATTCGCTTGAGTCACCACTGCAAGGTAATCCTCCATTCTGTGGTCTAGGATCAGAGCAGGTCCTTGCTCTCGAGTATTTTCCACCACCACAGGTAGTTGAACAGCCTCCCCAGGACCCCCAAGATGACCAAGCTCCATCAACTAAGAGACAAGATGTAGAATTTAAACAAATATAAAATGTGAATACTAGTTTGTAATCAATTCATTATGCTTTTTCCAACACTTTATATTAAATTGAAAATGTGTTGCAAATCCCATCGTTAATATTCTATATATTTAAAGATCACTCGACTTTCTACTGAAAAAAGTCAACGACAAAGCAATGTGGTTTATATCTCACCTGTTTTATATCTAATCAGCACCAAAATATATATTTAAATTTTTTACACCGTTCCGATTCAAAATTTAAAATCATGTCCTCTCTATAAATAATTCATAGTTTCTTGAATATATGCTCATCTGTCCAATCAAACTAGCCAGACTTATGTGTAGATCTTGTCTTGCTGATCATTCTTGCAATTTAAAGTTTCTTTGAATCTATTATATTTTTTAAGATAATAGGCAAAAATGAAATAAACTGGTAAAAATTGTCAATTAAAGGCAATAACTCCTATAAAAAGTCCCCCTGACAGTTTTGACATAAATAGACAATTATTTGAGCTCAACATTTTGAACATTTTTGCCCTTGTCAGATTTTCTCTATTTATAACAGTTTTCAAAATAATGGACACAACTTGCATTTTACCCATATGTTCTATTTTTAGCCATGTTGGCCATGTTGGTTGGCAGGTGGGGTCATCGGACACATTTTTGAAACTAGATACCCTACTGATCATTAAGGCTAAGTTTGATTAAATTTTAAACAGTTGTTTCAGAGAAGATTTTTGTAAAAGTTAACGGACGATGCACGACGACGACGGACAACGAACGACGGACGCCAAGTGATGAGAAAAGGTGAGCTAAATTTCAAACAATCAATCAAACCAATGCGGTACAAGGAAGAATTTTCTGTATTCTTATTATGTAATTTTATACTTCATCGTATTGCGAATGGGTGTTATATTTGACTTTTTAGCAAACTACACACACATCACACATACATACCAACAAATCCTATTATACCAAAAAAAATAACACGCTTGTAAACAAAATTTTTCAACTTAAACTTTGAAAGGAGAAGCATACTTGATATCAATAGTTGTGTTGTCTTGTTGAAGTGAATTAATTACAGGATATCATTTTAGGATATACGTGATTTGACATCAGTGTAAAGTGCTTTTCAATTTTCTTCTTACACTGCAAATTAGTTGCGTATATTTCCAGTGTTTTATGGTCAATCAATATAAATGTGATAAGAGCAAAGCATAACTTTAAACTTTACAATGAAAGAATAACTTACTTATGCATAATTGTGTATTACATCCCTGTGTTTCTGAGGTGACACCAACACAGTCAGCACCGCCGTACTGGGGAGATGGGTTTGTACAAGATCTAGTCCTGTCTTGACTTCCTCCACCACATGTTACGGTACATGTTCCCCAACTACTCCAACTGGTCCATACACCGTCAACTGAAAATTAGCCCTCGTGTTATAAAGGTAAACCTAGTTTCTTCAATTAAATCAACAAATTTTCGAGTTTTACGAAAAAGACTGTTCACTGCAACGGGATTCTGATGGTATACACAAAACATGATTTTAAAATTGTTCTATTGTGTATGTTGTTGTCAGTTTCGATGAAAAAATATTTTCATGGATATAAAAAAAAGAAGCCGTTACTGTGGTTAGATAATCAGAACAAGTATTAATCTAATATCAGAGAAAGCATCAACCTCATCTGCAGAATGTTTATTCTTTAAATGCGCGTTTACAAATATTGATTTTCATCAAAAGTAGTACCCGCATGCATGCGATTTGGCCCATGACACATTAGTCAATTAGATAACAATTGATAAAAACACACAAATTAAAAACAAATATACAACAATTCTCTTCCATAGGGCCACTGACAGCGGTACTTTAAAGAAGAGGAACATTTTGTCAAAAGTTATAGCTTGTACCACCAATACACTAAAAATGCATCTTCTACTTGAATTTAAAACGTTAATCTCCGAAATTATGAGAATTCACAAAAATATATTTCATATTTATCATAGTTTAATACTCATATTTTTCGTATTGATGTCGGTAAAGGGAGAAAATGATACATTTTGTTTTTTGTTACGTTGGAATGCTGTCGCATTGAATTCCAAATGTCGTGGCTAGTTTTCATCGATTAATAGTATCATCTGCATAGGAAGACAGGATCCATTTCGAAAAACTTTGAACAGTACTGATCATAGTCTGTGTATGAGGAACATTGGTCATTTTAACATCATTTTATCATACCAACGCGTATCACAATGTATCGTGAAGGGATCTGTTGTTGCATTTTAACTTCACTGAAGTTGTTTTCACACACGCACACGCACATGTGTATACGTCTTAATATGTGACAACCTTACGTAAGACGTTTTCCATCGGATAACCTATATATGTATATAAATTTGATATTAAGTACCCATCAATGAGGCAGCAATCAAACCAAACAACTTTACCCAATTCAAACACCTAGAGGCCACCATAATATCTTTAAATTTAAATGACAATACAAACAGTTTTTTTCGAATCACACGTACTTGGACAATGATGTGTGTTGCAGGACTGTTGACCAGACGCAGCTCCAGAACATTGTGATCCACCATATTGTGGTACAGGATTGGTACATGATCTGGTTCGGTCCTGAGTGCCGCCACCACATGTAACTGTGCAAGTGTCCCAACTGGACCATGATGTGTATCCACCGTTAACTATGCAAATTGAAAATGTCATCCTTAAGCAGAATAATCATTTACAAATGCAATGGCATTGATATGAAAACTACTATAATGAAGACGGAATTCTCGCTTTATCCGTTCAAAATTATCTATGTTTATATTATTATATTATATTATATTATGTAATATATACTGCTCAAGAAATTACTTTTTCTTTAATAGAATTTTTGAAAATTTTCAGGTTCATTTCATTTACTTACATACTTCTTAGAGATTAATTCCTACAATATCTGTTTAAACATACTTGGGCAATTATGAGTGTTACAGCTTTGTGAGTCTGAGGCTGATCCAGAACACGATAGACCATTATATTGTGGTGCAGGATTTGTACAACTTCTGGTTCTTCCTTGGGTTCCACCACCACACGTTACACTACAAGTAGCCCAAGATGTCCAGGAGGTATAACCACCATTAACTAAAAATTTACATACAAAAAATATTAGAAACTAGAAGTTATTTCGACACGTTCATGGTTTATGTGTTCGTCAAACATGTTTCAATGACTTATATAAAATGACAAAATGTTAAACCACTCCCTAAAATCAAGTAGATTATATGTACATTTTGCTAATGTCTGATATGGGTAAAGATGCGCAATTCATTGCAGGTAGGCGGTAATGGTAGCCTTTTCCTCAATTCCTCTGCCCATATTGTAAACTTGGATATGTATGAAGGCTCGTTTCGAAGCGAAGACATTTTCATATATGTGGTTAAAGTTTCGGGGTACGAAGTGAGATTCATTTTCCCGTAATTTAGCCGACCCCGAAAAGCATTTTGTGATGCGGCTTCTCGAGGTAAAACATCTCTTTCTTTTTTTACACAAAAAGTTCTTGAAAATTAGTTCTTTGCATACATCTAATAACTCCATAGTTTTTACACCTTTATTCTATGATCCTCTACTCTCCAAATCAGCACACATGGTTAAGTTCAGTCACTTGTTAAAAATTGAAACATGTTCAATATCCCTGCACAGAGATTTTTTGTTAACGCACTACTTTTGAGTCACATTGTGGATATTGACCCATATCAGCAGTTAGACAAATGAAAAAAATAGAAAAAACAAGATTATTATTTTTCTTTAGATTTCCAAAATATAGCATACATTGTTCTGTTCCAAAATTAGATAATAAAGGGATCTGTCACTACATTTGTATTCAAGCTACAGGTTGTGTAATATAACAGTTGAAGAGATTGTAATAGGTAAAACAAAATTGTTTAAAATCAAAGAAAAAATGAAGAATAACTCACATGTTGTGATAAAGTAATTGAAAAAGTTTTTAATTAAATACTTTCCTCAAATAAAATGTAAATTGAGAGTATTTTTTTCTTGCTTATAAGTAAACTAAACATTGAATTCTATTAGAAAAATTCCTAATTATCTGAGTTATACCGGAAAACCCATCATTCAGACAATGTTTTAACAAATAAAAAAAACGTTTTATGGATTGAAAAAGAAAACGATCATATTTGAGAATTTAATATAAAGTTAAAAGCAGATTCAACCACTGCATTGACTGTGATACCACTTCGACAGCTAAATTTTAAATTTTAAAAAGCTCGGAAAGCCTCGCGTTTTGAATATAAAAATTTGAATAGAGAAATATGGTATTGCAAGAGATTAGAGATCAAACGGACCACACGTTGATTATAAAAACACAACCTTGATTCGATGTTGTGTCTCTGCTGGGTTACTACAAACAAATTTCAGACATACTTGGACAATTAAGAGTGTTGCAGCTTTGTGAGTCTGAGGATGATCCAGAACATGAGAGGCCATTGTATTGAGGAGCAGGATTTGTACAACTTCTGGTTCTTCCTTGGGTTCCACCTGCACATGTTACACTACACGTACCCCAAGATGTCCAGGATGTATATCCACCATTAACTGATAAATGAATAAAAAAAAATCACAGTAGAATATTATATATCATTAAACTTAAACCAGTTTAGTTGCAAATGAACGTTGCTTTAAAAAAAACAGATGTTGCGTTGTAATAAACATATTTCAGCTTTGACTTCATTCAATGTGAAACATGCAAATGGTTTTGTTTTTCTTATCTAAATATCATACTAATCGATTTTACTTGTGTTTTCAATTCAAAGTAAAATAAAAAATGAAAAATTTCGATAAATTTATAAATATTCAATATTAGAGGAATATAATTTTGAAGATAATTCTCTATAGCAATTTTTAAATGTACAATAAAGAAATCATCGTATCCTTTAATATTTTAATGAGTAGGAATCACTTGATTATTGGTTGTAAAAATATTCTCTAGTAGATGAGTTTCAACATACTTGGACAATTATGCGTGTTGCAGCTTTGTGTGTCTGATGCTGATCCTGAACATGTTGCACCACCATTTTGAGGAGTAGGATTTGTACAACTTCTAGTTCTACCCTGAGTTCCGCCTCCACATGTATTACTGCACTGGCCCCATGATGTCCATGAAGTATAGCCGCCATCAACTGATAGTCAAATATTACCGATCTACATTTTACTATATCATAACTCCAGGAAGCACACGGTGAGTAATTGTTGACAGTTAATGTTAAATTAACGCACTTTTATTTGGGAAATAGGTAAGTTTAGTTTGAATGTATTTTATTTGAAAGAATAGCAAAGAGGATTGGACACAAGTTTTAACAACATACACATATAAACACAAAAGCATTTAAATAATGACATACAAATAATAGATAAATATGCCTTTAAAACATGATTATAGATTCAACGTCGATTCCACGCTCTCTGTGAATCAACGTTCCTTTGTAGTAATGCATACTTGGTAACTAGTACTAACAGAATGTCTGGGAATAAGAATAATAATTTAATAAAGTAAAGATGTACAACGTAGCTCAAAGGGTTGCTTTGAGAAACAATGGGTCATGTATATTGGGGTCGATGTTGAAACGTTTATAAATTGAGCGAAATTTACTATGGTCAGTCTAGACCTAAAGAACATTAAATACTCTTGACAAAAAAGTATCAGAAAACTAAATGTTTGCACCTGTCCTAAGTCAGGAATCTGATTACAGTAGTTGTCGTCTGTTTATGTAGTTCATACGTGTTTCTCGTTTCTCGTTTTTATATAGATTAGACCGTTGGGTTTTCCGTTTGAATGGTTTTACACTAGTAATATTTTGGGGCCCTTTATAGCTTGCTGTTCGGTGTGAGCCAATGCTCCGTGTTGAAGGCCGTACCTTGACCTATAATAGTTTACTTTTATAAATTGTAACTTGGATGGAGAGTTGTCTCATTGGCACTCATACCACATCTTCCTATATCTATCTACATCTTAAATGAAAATTGGCGTATGCTTTTGTTATCAATTGGGTTAGAGAATAAAAAAAGATGTAGGTGTTATACTCAATTAGACAGCGATCCAACATCGCAAAAAACACGTATTGAGATCTTCAATAAACCTGCAGCAGTACAAAGTTTTTATCTAAAAAAAATCACTCTCGGTGTTTAATTGGGTTCGAGCTGCTCAAAATTTGTTTTTCTGTGTATTGTTTTGTGGACTTTTATTTTGTCTTCATTCTTTCGTGACTTTCGATTGTCCACTTAGTATCTTAGTTGTCGTCTTATGCTTCTTTTATTGTCAACTATGCACATATGATTTAAATTGTCAATACTACTATGACAGTTTCCATTTCAATATAATAATAGAATGCTGACATAGAAATAGATATTTTGGACAAGCTGTACATCAGACAATAATGTTTGTACATTTTTATTAAACAAATAAAATATTTAAAGACATAATAATAAGTTATCATTATACTTACTTGGACAAGCGCTCAATGTGCAGGCTTTACTCGCCGTTGTACTACCGCTACAATCAGTACCACCGTGAGCTGCAGAAGGGTTGTTGCAGGCCCTTGACTTTGTCTGTGTACCACTTGCACATGTAACAGAACAAGATCCCCATGATCCCCAGCTGTTCCATCCTCCATTTACTGTCAACATAATACAGATTTCAAAAATCAATAGTACATACTTTATTGCAATGTACTAGTATTATATAAATATCTAACCGTGGTATAAAATATCCAATCTGATGACTTTTGATTTTTAACATAATTCAGGTATGAATTACAAAAGGACACCCACATCAGCTGTGATATAGCTGTAATTTAAATATTACTGATTGTTCGATACTATGAAAAACTGCAGTACAGTATACAAAGTGGTCCTACCAACACATACAAAAGTTGTCTTTATTGATCAATCAGACAGTTTCAACTTAAATTCCGTTGTGTCTGATATGAATGTATTCCAGTTTTTGTGAATCAATGCAGAATTTTCAATTACGCGAATCACTGTCAGAACTTTTATAAATAAGAAACATATAGCAGGCGGAAATTGATAGTGATTCACAGTGAAAAACTGGTGATATATTATTATGGAAAAATCCTTGTTTTTAGGATGAATAATAATGACTACTTACTTGGACAGTAGCTTGCGCTGGTACAAGAAGTACTCTGACTACTATCACCAGTGCATTGTAGTCCATCATATTTTGGAGTTGGATTTGAACATGTTCTTGTTCTGGTTTTCGTTCCAGATGCAGACGCACCAGACGCAGTACACGAGATTGAGCAGGTTCCCCATGAAGCCCAGCTTGCCCAGTCTCCATTAACTAAAATATAAGATTTCTTTTTATATATTATCAGCTCGTAGTCTTAAGATTGTATATCCTTTTAAATCTTTATCAAAATTGCTGCGATAGTTAAGCTACCACAAACAATTATAAGTTGCCTATGTAAGTCGTATGGAAACACCAGGGTTTGTGTGAACGGATGGTATTTAACAGTTCAAGAGAAATTTTAATGTCAGTGTGGGCAAGAATGTTTTAGAAAATTCACAGGCTTTATTACTAATATTCTACAATTGGAAATTTGAATTAAGGTAACTTTCTTGCTTATGGATGTCCAGGTAGGTGTATGTTCTTATTAAAGTTATGTAACTACGGTTAAAGTAAAAAATACTTCGTAAATAATTATTAATTCGAACACAATCATTCAGGTTTACTCGACTAGAACTGTATTTTGAGGATCTCTTTTCAGCATTATTTCTATTTAAGTGACTTACTGGACGACTGTTGGAAGATATTCATTCTTTGTTTTCTTTAAAAAAAATATCATGATAATAGACATAAAAAGTAAAAGCATATTCGGGGATTTGGGTATAATCGAGTAGACCCGTTTTATGAGCTCTACAATTAATACGTTTCAAGAGTTGTATTGAAATGAAATAACCGTTTAAATAGCTTGTGTCACAAATAATTAACCTTTGTACAAATGTTCAAAATCAAAATATTATGAATAAGACATGTTGATTTTCTATTAATTCTTGTCAGAAACTGGCACACAGTTGTCAATTTCTTTGAAATGTATTGCATTACTTCATATTATTCAGCTCAAGGTTACCCCCTACATGTTTCCAACATAGTAAAGGGGTTTTGGAATTCATTATTCTTGCCCCTTTAATCTCAGTTTTAAACAAATTTGAAAAGAAGCAGTTAAATTTAAATTAAGATATAAAATGGTATTAATGTTCAGTACTGTAAAACAAGGGACTATTGCTGATTATTATTTGTTGACCTCATTTAATATGAATGTCAAATTTCTTACTTGGTGATGGTGTTGCACAATCTTCTTCAGCTACTCCATCACCGTCATCATCTGGAAAGAAAGTTTACAATCGGTTTTGGTAAGTGCAGTCTTATGCATGCTATCATTGAAAGGAAATTGACCTCATATTCAGTTTTATAATTAAATATCTTGTCATATAGACTGATGTAACAGATACTTTCTATATCCGAACAATTTATGTTTTTTTTACAAAAACATAGTTACATGAACAAATGGAAAATTCATGCCTTGTACCTATGACTTCAGCTTTATGCCAGCATAGTACCATATTCAGGCAGAATAAATAAATTGCCAATGTTCTCTTACACATGTTTAATGCCACACAGATCACTAAATTATTATACCAAAATCCCAAAGACGGTCGATAATAGAGCAGCCAGCAGTTGATTATCCTTTCGATGGACCTGATTCACCTCTTTACATTTATAGGTGATAAAAAAAATGCAATTAAAGAAAGTAGTGAAACAAATGCTTTAAAGCAAACAGTACAATAAAAAACGAGAAAAAAAAATCAACGTGCAGAGTTAACTATTCATTTTTAATATTTAGGTTTCTCGTCCCTTTAAGAAAACATTAATTGATTTTTTTTAACATATTAATAATTCAAAATAGAGGACTAGTACGGAGAAGTGTCTGAACATAGGAATAAACACAATAAAATCAGTCTCTTTTCAAAACGGTTGCATGCTGAGATTAAAATCAACGTGAAGCTACAATTCAGGATTTTGTACCTCGGAAATTCCAAACACTGATATTAAAAGATAAATTTACCTTGACCTTGATTCTCAGTTGTACACAACTCTTCGTCAATCAATCCGTCACAATCGTTATCTACACCATCCCCTACTACTGTTGAACTTGGTACGCAAATCTATAAACGTATTTAACATTCATAACCAAAATTCAACTTAATCAACTGTTTCTTGGTGAACATAAGATTATGAATGTAAAAAACCTAGTACAAGAATAAATGCAGTAAGCATTGCTGATCTAATAGATTTAACATGTCTTATATTGCCATTACAGTGTACGGTTTAATCAATCCTGATTTTAGATTGAAAAAATGTCAAAAATAATTCTTCTGTGAGCAAAACAGATCAGTTTAGCAGACCATTTTAACATCTAAAATTGCAGTTTAGCAGACCATTTTAACATCTAAAATTGCAGTTTAGCAGACCATTTTAACATCTAAAATTGCATCGACTATTTAGTCACAATTTTCATGTTTAAAAAAAATTGAAGCAGTTCAAAACATTCTGAGTCGGGCCTTTCTTGTTCGAAGTTGCTCTGACGATTGACTGCCTTTTTAGGACTGACTTGGTCCAACGGTCCCAAATTAGGCCGGAAAAGGACTGTCAGACTTCAGAGCAATCTCGGACTATCCTGGGAGAGACTCATACAAGGAAAAGCAAATACGCATGATCGGACGGCTAATCAAACTATTTAAAAATAGTTTGGTGAATCAATGGATATTGCAATGTTATGTTGTTTATATTACAATTGTCATGGTTGTAGAAAATCGAATAACGTGTCCAAAAAAACATTAATTGATTCATAGATCCCTACTTGTATTATATTATTAGTGTTATTATTGATTACTTATGTTACAGTGGTCCTATTATCATTCTGCAGTCAGCCAACTATAACAGGTTTGCTTTATATTTTATTATCTGCCGAAGGTCGGTGGTTCTCACCGGGTACTCCGGTTTCCTCCACCATCAAAAAATTGGCAGCCATCTTGATATATGCGAATTTTGCTGAAATTGTGGTCAAACACTAACAATCAATTATTTTTTTATTGTTTGCTTTATTTGCGTAAAATAAGGAGTCTCTTCGCGATCCGAGTTTTGATGATGTCGATTTCTATAATAATGAAAGAACGGTTAGAAACAAAAAAAAAAGATAAGCGTACAGGTTAAATTAATTGCAGGATAAAACAATTTGTAAACGCTACGAAATGGGAGAAAAGCTGGGTGGGTCTTGATTTTCTTTCTGTTTCTAAAGCTCTTACAAATAAATTTTATATTATCCTTCAATGCACGTGTATTGTATATATAAACAACTTTATTACTTTAAAGGGCCGTTATTTGTCTTTCCATAAGATGTGTTGGTACAAAGCAGAGTATTATAGTTATCTTGTAATTGTTGGGAATACTATAGCATGTTACACAAAAGAATAGAGAACACCGCTGTGTTTTTATCTTTGTCAATTTGTCTTAAAAATACCTTTTATACCATTATGACCGGACGAAAAGCATGTCAATTACTTGGACTATCATATTTCGGACTTTAATAATTATATCTTTTGACATTTTTAGCTCAAATTTTCCCATATAATTATATTTTGGTTTAAAATGTATGTTTCTACTAATGCGATAATGGACTTCGTATCTACGTGTCAAATACAGTTTTAGCAGATTATCTTAACAATGGACAATAATTGCTTAATCCATACGTTACATGTATTTCTTTATCATTATGTTTTATGTACTTCTTGTAAATAATTTATATTCAGGTTTGGAAATGTTCAATAACCGTAAACACCGGACTCACTGTTGTAACATCGTTTATATTCTTGTTGGATTGTTTATTAAATTGTTAAACTTTATACCGACTTGAATCTTCATTTGATAGCCAGCAAATAGTCTGGTTATGCATGGTGTTAGAGATTCGTGAGTGTTATCTTTTATAGATCAACACAAAATTCCCTTACCTTAACAGCCAAGCCAAATTTCCCCCAAGGACAAGTTACAGCCAAGAGACTAGTAAACCCCTGAATTCTTACATTTCGGACAATTTATACATGGACAGTGTTTAATTAAATACAATTGATTATTACGGATATTCTTTCATACCACAATGGATGAGGAATTGTTCGACGTATTGTATAATCCAGGAAGAAGGGAATTTATCATAATGTGTGGAAAATGTGGAAAACATCATACCAACAAGAGTGTTTGTGCCGCAAGAAATTCAAAATGCTTCAAATGCCAAAAACCAGGACATTTTGCTGGGCAGTGCTACACTCGTATAAACCGAGTTAAAATTGAATTCAGGTTTGGAAATGTTCAATAACCGTAAACACCGGACTCAATATTGTAACATCGTTTATATTCTTGTTGGATTGTTTATTAAATTGTTAAACTTTATACCGACTCGAATCACCATTTGATAACCAGTAAACAGTCTGGTTATACAATTCTTATAAGTATAACTTATAACCTTTATCATGATTGAATACTTACGTTATATTGAAGATGATCTTTCTGAGAGGAATTATTCTTTCAAGCATAATATACAGACTAACATTTTACATTTTACTTACTTCGTTGATTGGGGCCATCCTCATACCAGTTGGGAAGCCGTAGGTTTCATACTTGGCCTGCCCATAAAGGTAGCCACCAAAAATAGAAATAGGTGAACTATGTCTTACAACGTGAGAACCTTCTGGAATGATGATGTAGCCGGCTACATAATCTGTTCCTGCTATCTGGTGATATGTAGTTGAGCCGGGAAATGCAACACCGTTATGTAGTAAACCAGCTTTTTCGCTCTCTTTGACGATAAACATAAATTTACTGTTGTATGACCCGTATGAATATTTCGGTGTACTGAAGGTGTAATCTGCTCCATATTGTTCCATGGGAGGTATCAACATCAACATTGGATCAGACTCTTCGTTGCTTGATTGTTCACTCAAGCAGAATTGGAATACACTGATTGGTTTATCTGCAACGACTTTGGTGTATATTCCAGATGGTATTGTCTTTTGTACAAATTTTCCACTATTTGAGATAGTAAATGTTGAACTGTAACCTCCAGAAATTGTCACTTGTGTATTATCTTCACTAGCAATGAATTTGAAATAGTCTCCAGTTGTTCTTAAAGGAATTGGACAAGTGATAAATGTTTTGCCCCATGTACCTACATGTGTTAACATTTCTACAATGTGATCAGAGGACCCTCCAGAACCAATACTTGTTCTCTGATTTCCACCAAGCACTCCGACCGGTTTATTAGACTGAATTCTACTCCCAGTCAAATCGCCGTATGACTGTAATTGAAGAACTTCATATTTCTGCAGACTTGTTGTTAGTACATCACCGCTGTAATACGACTGACCATTGAATGTTATTTTGTCGTTAGCAATGTGGGTTGAGATCGTCACCGTAACTGTGGTACTATCTTCAACACCAATGATGTCAATCTGGCAATGATATGATGACGGGTACCAAGAAACCGTGTAGTAATCGTCACCAAGTACGTCAATCGGGAGTGCGAGATAAGCATCGCAAGAATAGTATTGTTTGTTTACTCCGTAGACTATTACATCATCATCCGCTGATATTTGGATACCTAGAACAAAATTATGACTACTACAATTTTATCATTCTATGTCCTTCATTTGTGTCAGAAAGCAAGGCTACACAGCAGTTATATATTTTCCTACCACTTTGCTGTGATCAATACGATTTTAATTTAAACCTCAGTATAAAGCTCAGATCCCGAAAATTTGGAACATCCAAAGATAAGTAAACAGATTGGAGCAATGCATACAAAGGGGTCTAAAACATTTGTATTTTGGAGAACATATATTTCCCGTTTGAATGGTTTTACGCTAGTAATTTTTGGGGCCCTTTATAGCTTGCTGTTTGGTGTGAGCCAAGGCTCCGTGTTGAAGACCGTACTTTGACCTATAATGGTTTACTTTTATAAATTTTGACTTGGATGGAGAGTTGTCTCATTGGCACTCATACCACATCTTCTTATATCTATATAAATATTCCTAGTCTTTAAATTGTTGTATATATTTCATTTGTTTAATGCAGGTTGTTGCATATTTTTAATTGAATAGTTGCATTGTTCGTCCAATCATATTTGTCGTGATTTTCACCAAATGGGAATTTTATTTATCTCCGAAAGTAAATAGTGTTTATATTATTTTAAATATACTTATGCAAGAATTTTGTAAAGGCCCATATACATAATATTTGCATAAAACTTGAAATGCTGAATTTTTCCCTGTCCCTGTGTAAGATACAGTACCTCTTTTTAATCAGCAAAAAGATTCATTGCCTATTTGAAAAGGAATAAGTCGTGGATAAAAAGTGTAACTATGAAGAAAACTTAATGTCTTCCAAATTTTATTATAAAAGGATATTTTATTTTAATAGATAATTATTTCCTATAGTTTAATTACACTGTTGCTTCTTGTTCATTTACTCAACATTTCATTTCCAAATTATTCATTGATTCTAATATATATGTATATATGAAAAATGCATGAACGTTTTAATTAGACGTTAATCCGCCTCTCACAAAAAGAACCCACTTAATTGTACAACTATTGCAAGTGATTGTCATAATTTTACACCTATTGTTTTTAAACAGTGTGTTAATGGCAAGATGCGATATAGAACCTCACGTTTTAAATTTGAACTGTCTCGACTGGAGAAATATCGTATCACACTCGCAAAATCTCTCTCTTCATATATATGTGAAAGATCGTTGACTAATATCTAGACGTTATGTATAGATTATTACATGGCATTTTTCATATCAGACCCTTTATCGGCCCTAGGTCATGATATCAGCCCAAGAGCCGCAGGCTCGAGGGCTGATATCATGAACGAGGGCCGATAAAGGGTCTGATATGATAAATGACATGTAATTATCTTTTTATCATATACTTCAACAGAAGAAATACAGACAAGAACTATTAATTAAAATTTTGTCTTTCCATGAATTTTTAGATAATAATTTACAGACAACCAAATACAAATGTCTTAACTTTTATTGTTTTTATTGATATTACAAGCATTTTATTTATCTTGTCACAACAATTAACATGTTCTTAGTTTGAAATTTGCTCCTCAACTATTTTGTGGAAAGTCTTAAATCACTTGCGGTTTTCCGCACTGTGTTGTCGTTTTCGAACAAATTTCCGGAAATGCACGACGTTGCATGTGATAAACGTCACGGAAATTAACGGAAAGGCATGTGATAACATTCCGGAAGCAGTCAATAAAGGTTCCTTTATCAGCCCGCTGAGGAAATTCTTAGGAAACTGATAAATAAACCTAGTAATCCTTTCATAGCCTTTTAATATTTTAAATGTTATTGAACTGTAAAATTTTAGTAATATTTTATACAAGTATATGATAAATATATATATATAAAACGTCTAGATATTAGTCAACGATCTTTCTTGCGAAGGCGTTGAATCGTTATGAAAAAACGATACTGTACTGAATAAAAAAATTATATATACGCCTAAAAAGTGTACAAAACAACACCACGATTATAAAAAAGGAAACAATAATTACAAGCATCAATAAGTATTTCGGATAACAGATATCCTTCATTAGTATGATGTAAAATGAATCTTATCAATATATGATAGAAAAGAGAATGCAAACGGGAAGTGTGTCAAAGAGACGACAACAACCCGACCAAAGAGCAGATCACAGCCCAATGTCACAAATGGGTCTTCAACGCTACGAGAAAATCCGGCACTCGGAGGCGGGCTTCAGCTTGATGTTTTCGACTAATGAGTTTAAACGTTCTTTTGATATCTTTCGCCTCTCATGTTTATTAAATTTGCCTACCATGTATTATCATAGTACTTCCTATATGTTTTTTGACTTATTATATATAAGAAGATGTGGTATGAGTGCCAATGAGACAACTCTCCATCCAAGTCAAAATTTATAAAAGTAAACCATTATAGGTCAAAGTACGGTCTTCAACACGGAGCCTTGGCTCACACCGAACAGCAAGCTATAAAGGGCCCCAAAAATTACTAGTGTAAAACCATTCAAACGGGAAACCAACGGTCTAATCTATAAAAAAAACGAGAAACGAGAAACAATTATGAACCACATCAACAAACGACAACTACTGACCATCATATTCCTGACTTAGGACAGGTGCAAACAATTGCAGCGGGTTTAAACGTTTTAATGGTACCAAACCTTCACCCTTATCTGAAACAATAGTGTAACATCACAACATAGAAAGACACACTATAAAATATCAATTGAAATGGCTTAACTCAATCATAAGACATATTAACACCAGTGAACATACACTGAACAAATAAATTTGATCTATGATACAATGTAAATACAAAATAAATGCATGCTTATGTGTGTCCGGCGGTTGAAAGCTCAGTAGAGCTTATGTTGTGGTAATTTGTTTTTGTAAATAATTTCGACTCATAAAATATAAGCTTAATTATTATTATTATTATTATTATTATTATTATTATCATTATTATTAACAAGCTTCAAAACCAAACCTACTAATCGTAAGAAAGTAAATGACAACTTCGAAAAATATATTTACTTTGGAAAATTACGAATTTTACCTTAATCTCAACTGAGATTACAGCTTTGAAATAATTCTGGTCTGGATACTTTAAATTATCTTCTACGTGTACATGTACGTATTACTATAAAAAATATTGATGTTGAAATTAGCTTATTAATATACCTTTAAAACTTTTTGTTGTTCCAAACATTCTCAAATCATTGTCCAAAAGCAGCTGCTTAACGTATCCAGAAGTGACAGTAAATTGCTCATTAATGGTTTGCGCGGTATAAAGCGGTGCTGTTACGTGTACATTTACCGTTGTGGTACGAGAAGTTGTAACAAAAAGTTCTGTGTCCAAATCTTTGCCGCTGTTTTCTCCAAAGGCAACAATAAACAACATTCCTCTGTTGTCAGGAGCTAAAACACGACACAAAATATAAATTTTCTTAACAATATAGCACATGCATGACACGCATATTGTAATAGATAGATTTCACCAGTAGTTGTCACATCATACATTGTATTATCGGCTATCACTACAACAGATACATTATTGATATGTGTTCCAGGTTGCCATTCAAAACCATTGTTTTGACGTAGAAGACCGTTAGGTAATCTGAAGTTATGCTATCCTTCAATATCAGCTAATTCGAATTCTCTTTTAGTTTTTACAACTTCGCTTAAAAAGACAAAGGTTGAGACTGTTTCGAATGGCACATTGATTTTCTGAGTTGGTATTTCAAAACGGGTTTCAGCATTGACGATACCAAATTCTTTATCCCTTCATATATATTAATATTATAAATGAAATTTCATGAACATAATTTTCTGAAGTACATTTGTTTGTAATATCAACATGTTTTGAAGTGAGAAAATTTTCAGTAAAAAAGCATGAATATCTGTGTCCGCGGATAAATTTCTGACTTGATGACGTATACCTATCAAAGATTAATGGATTGAGAGGCATCACCAGTTATGTTGCGTCATTGATCGACCAAGCAAGTATCATTTAGTATCAGAGGATTGAGGTATTAATATAGCTGATAACGTTAAACTTTGATATGCATAGATTATCGGGTTTTCTACACATTTGATATTGTAAAATATCAGCCGCGAGCCACAACGTTAATCTTTTAGGAGAGTGAGCGTAGCCAACGAGCAAAAAGTCGTCACAAGAGCTGAGCAGAGTGATACAGAGAGTGGGACGACCGATAAGGATACATTATCGTTAACATAGGGATAATATATGAAGGAATTTATTTTGTACTTTTGTTCTTATATAGAATAATGGTTTCGACAGTATTTTATGGAAGAAATGTTTGATAACTTTTTTAAAAATATTTCAAGTAAACGCATAGAACAGCAAAAAATTACTTTCCCTTCTTATTTGGTTTTGATGAAATACTTTTAAGGATTTGTGTCATGCAATGATACCTATAACCCATTCCAGTGCATACAATGTATATTCATTATAAATGTCATCATCGATGGTTTCAGGATACTGGTACATTTTGACATTGCGGTTGACAATTTCGACATAACAAGTCGTAATTACGACATCACTATGTCGTAAATACGACATAGCTATGTCGTAATAACGACATCGCTATATATATATAAAAGAATATGTATTATGATTGCCAAGAGACTAAATGACACAGAAATTAAGAACTATAGGTCATCATAATGCCCTCAATAATGAGAAAAGCCCCCGCATAGTCAGCTATAAAAGAGGGACGAAAGATACCAGAGGGAGAGTCCCCGAAATGACAGCTGTTTAACAATTTAATTCAAACGAGTGAAAATAACGGTTTTAATAATGTACAAACAAAGACCGAAACACGAATATGTAACACAGCAACAAATGACAACCACTGAATTTCAGACTCCTGACCGCTATCTGATAATAACGACAACCTTATAGTTTAACTTTTCACTTTTTGAAGCGATAGGAATTTCAAAATTGTCCCCAGTAAAGGCAAAGTTTGTAGCGTAAACAAATTCATCTTTTTTTTTTGAGAATATTGAACACTTTATGCAATCAAGCTTAATTAAAGTTATTCACTAGCACCTCAGACTTGCACATACTAGAACTTTATTTATAAATAAGTCAAATGAGACCCAGTTGAATAGGGGAGCAATTCAAGCTCCCTGGAGCCTCTAATTATGTTTGGCATTGCAGGTTCTGAATAAGATGAATTTTAAGCTTTTCCCAATAAAGACTATGTTAAACTTTGGACTCATAGTGCTCAGACTCACGGATCTCTGTATCTTCATGTGTACACACTTGAATCTTAATGTACTACTGAGGCTTGATGCAAATTATAACTGCATTGCTATTGTTGGTTCTTAATGAGATTCTTCAAGCGTCCTCCCCATTGAAGCCTTATTAAAACTTTGTACCCCAAGTTCTTTTAACCACTGTTCCCTAGGACAACTATTCCTACAAACTTAGAGGGAGGTTTGGGATCCCGCTAACATGTTTAACCCCGCCACATTCTTAATGTATGTATCTGTCCCAAGTCTTTAATTTACATATTTGTTTTTCGTTTATTTTTGTACATAAAATAGGCCGCTAGTTTTTCTCGTTTGAATTGTATTACATTTGTCATTTCGGGGCCTTTTATAGCTGACTATGCGGTATGGGCTGTGATCATTGTTGAAGGCCGTACGGTGACCTATAATTGTTAATGTCTGTGTCATTTGGTTTCTTGTGGAGAGTTGCGTTTTTGAACAAACCAGCGTATCCCAAAGCCTTGATAACCTCTGTAGGCCCCAAATAAGACGGAAAAAAAAATTGGAGAGAAAACTGAAAATAAATGGTTTCTAACCTCAGGGATATTAACCTTTGGCATGCTGATTTGTTTTCAGAAATTGTCTAAATTTCGAGTATTTGTAAAAATATGCAAATGATATGCAAATGAGCTGTACCCTGATGCTGATGCATACTGATTGCATTAAATCTAAGATAGCCAAGGGTTAATATCCCTGAGGTTAGAAACCATTTTTTTCAGTTTTCTCTCTAATTTTGATGTTTTTTTCGTCTTATTTGGGACCTACAGAGGTTATCAAGGCCTTGGGATACGCTAGTTTGTTAAAAAACGCAACTCTCAACAAGAAACCAAATGACACAGAAATTTACAATTAAAGTCACCGTACGGCCTTCAACAATGATCACAGCCCATACCGCATAGTCAGCTATAAAAGGCCCCGAAATGACAAAGGTAATACAATTCAAACGAGAAAAACTAGCGGCCTATTTTATGTACAAAAATAAACGAAAAACAAATATGTAAATTAAAGACTTGGGACATACACATACATAAAGAATGTGGCGGGGTTAAACATGTTAGCGGGATCCTAAAACCTCCCCTTAATTTTGTAGGAATAGTTGCCCTGGGGAACAGTGGTTAAAAGAACTTGGGTTACAAAGTTTTAATAGGGCTTCAATGGGGAGGACGCTTGAAGAATCTCATTAAGAACCAACAATAGCAATGCAGTAATAATTTGCATCAAGCCTCAGTAGTTACTGTACATTAAGATTCAAGTGTGTACAAATGAAGGTACAGAGATCCGTGGGTCTGAGCACTATGAGTTCAAAGTTTAACATAGTCTTTATTGGGAAAAGCTTAAAATTCATCTTATTCAGAACCTGGAATGGAAATGCAGGACTTCATAATTTACACAAATCTGTACATGCCAAACATAATTAGAGGCTCCTAGGAGCTTGAATTGCTCCCCTATTCAACTGGGTCTCATTTGACTTGATTATAAATAAAGTTCTAGTATGTGCAAGTCTGAGGTGCTAGTGAATAACTTTAATTAAGCTTGATTGCATATAGTATTCATTATTCTAAAAAAAAAAAGATGAATTTGTTTCCGCTACAAACTTTGCCTTTACTGACAACCATTTTGAAATGCCTATCGCATCAAAAAAGTGAAAAGTTAAACTATAAGGTTGCCGTTATTATCACATAGCGGTCAGGAGTCTGTAATTCAGTGGTTGTCATTTGTTGCTGTGTTACATATTCGTTTTTCGGTCTTTGTTTGTACATTATTAAAACCGTTATTTTCACTCGTTTGAATTAAATTATTAAACAGCTGTCATGTCGGGGACTCTCCCTCTGGTATCTTTCGTCCCTCTTTTATAGCTGACTATGCGGGGGCTTTTCTCATTATTGAGGGCATTATGATGACCTATAGTTGTGAATTTCTGTGTCATTAAGTCTCTTGGCAATCATAATACATATTCTTCTATATATATATATCGATGTCGTTATTACGACATAGTGATGTCGTAATTACGACATCATTTTTTTTTTAATGGCCCTTATCGGCTTCCGTAGTATGTACTATCAACGACAAAAAAATAATTTTGTTGACGTCACAAGTTGTCAAACTTTTACTGTCTACATCTTTTTAGTTGGCGTCTTTGTTAGATTTATTTGTGTTTGTTTGAATTTTTTAGTCAGTTGTGTTGTATGTCTGTGATGTATGTTTACACAGTTTTGGCTACTGTGTCCCAATTATTGTCTAATGTCTTTTGGGGTTGCTCACCCAATTTTTTTCAATATAACGGAACTATAAACAACTGCCATACAAGTGGGAGGTTTAGCTAGCTATAAAACCAGGTTAACACACCATTTTCTTTGGAAAATGCCTGTACAAAATCAGGAATATGACAGTTGTTTTACACTTGTTCCGTTTATTGATAGCGTTTGATTTTGTCAGTTTTTATGGACTTCCCCCTTTTTTAATTAGCCTTGGAGTTCATTATTTTTTTTATACTATTTGTAAAGTAATTTGGCGGTAAATGTTGAAGATCCGGGCATTTTGATACACATTTGCAAATTAGGTTTTACATGTTTGATGCCACTCGTGAAATGAAATAAAGTGTACCAGAGAGACAAAGAAATATAATACAACTGTACTTCCAACAGATTGTTGGTTTTGGTTATAAATGTTCTTTATACATTTTTTTATAATTAAAAAATAAAAAATTGTCAAAAACTATTTAGGTATATAAAAAATAATCAATATCAAAATAAGAAGATGTGGTATGTTGCCAATGAGACAACTCTCCACCAGAGATCAAATGACGCAGAAATTAGCAACTATAAGTCACCGTATGGCCTTTGGCACTGAGTAAAACCCATATCGTATAGCTAGCTATAAAAGGCCCCGATATAACAAATGTGATACAATTCAAATGAGAAATCTAACGGCCTGATTTATGTACAAAACAATGAACGAAAAACAAACATTATATACAGCAACAAACGGCAACCACTGAGTTACAGGCTCCTGACTTGGGACAGGCACATATAAGAATGTGGCAGGGTTAAACGTGTGTGCTGGCACCCAACCCTCCCCTAACCTGGGCCAGCGGTGTAACAGCACAACATATGAGCGACTTTATAAAATACCAGGAGTCGGTTTCACAAAAAAAATTACGACTAAGATTGATCGTAAGTATACTGAATTGTTCATGACTTGAGATCAATCTTAGTCGTAAGTATTTTTGTGAAACCGACTCCTGAATGTAACATATTAAGATGGGAGCATGGTAAGATTAAGAAAAAGTATGATGTGTTGCTTTTTAAATTATTTCCGGTAAATATTTCCAACTAATCAAACAACCTAAAACGACAGTGTTGGAATAAAAAGGTCTACACTGTAGATTTTAAGCAAAACGGACAACCACCGCATACTATATACCCAAGCATGACTCACATGAGTATAGAATCATCGACACTTAGACTTCTCTAGTCTTGTTTTCGAGGGAAGGTGTTTGTTTGACTGTGTCCAATAGGATTGCTAATATTCATTGATTTCTTTAGTCATTGATCAGACAGTGCCTAGAACCTGTCTCTTTTTGTAGTTATCCTTTTCGACCCTCTGTGTCTTAATGTCATCCGAATAAACATTACGTCAGTTAGATTATTATAGCATACATTAGATTTGTGTCTGCAGTTAATTTTGGCATAGTGTACAGCATATTTTGATCTGTGTTACCTACTGCATCTTTAGTTATGATAGCCGGTAAATAAACTCATCATAGACACCAGGCTTAACAGTGTGTACGCCAGACACGAGTTTCGTCTTTTAAAGACTCACCAGTGACGCTCGAATTAAAAAAAGTTACAAAGGCAAATTAAAGTATGAAGTTGGAGAGTATTGATGACTCATACCATATGAAGTTTTCTCATAAAGATATAATTAACGAACTAAGTTCACAAACTACTGCTATTATCAACCAACCTCCTGATTCAGAGACATCCATCATCATGGCTATGCACACAAGTAGCAGAGTCGCTGCAGACCCGACACCTGTGAAAAGGATTACAAGTTAACTGTATTGAAACGGAAACTACAATGTTAGTTGATACAAGGGAACATTTTTATGTGGTACGTATCTCTGTTTCTGCATATATTATTACCTTAAGTGAAATCCTTGATTAAGGTTCAAATCTTAGTCACAGAAGCTATCCACCATATAATGCTTACATTGGGTTTAAACTGAGGTTCAAGTGAATCATGTAACAAACAAAAAATGAGAAAAGAGAAACTTTTAAAATAATGTATAGATATTTCTATTATGCATATATTATTACCTTAAGTGAAATCCTTGATTAAGGTTCAAATCTTAGTCACAGAAGCTATCCACCATATAATGCTTACATTGGGTTTAAACTGAGGTTCAAGTGAATCATGTAACAAACAAAAAATGAGAAAAGAGAAACTTTTAAAATAATGTATAGATATTTCTATTATGCATATATTATCATTCAGATTCTTAGTATTTTTTATAAAGGGTGGTTTAACTAATACTAATATTCAGGAGGTTTTATTTAATGAATGATAAGCTCTGTAAATTTTAAAACCGGACCAAATGATGCCATAGCTGGTGATATGGGCTGGAAACCACCATGCGTTAAACCACCATGCGTTAAACAATGGACATTGGGCTAGGTGTTCCATAATGGACCCACACAGGATAAATTTTAAGATTTTTAAATGGTCCATACGAAAGTGCAATACTAAAATTAAGAATTGGAGCTTTAGAGTTATAGAGATGTTAAAATTGTATAATTATGAGCAATATTGTAATTTTGAATTAAATGTATTGAACAAAAATAGTATTAAACAAATTGAGGAAGATGTATTTAATAAGTTTAAGTCAAACTGGTGTACAAGAGTTGCTGCGTATGCAGAGGGAAGTAAATGAGGACTTACAAATTGTTTAAAAATAATTATTGTACTGAAAATTATTTGAAAAATATTCTGTCAATTGAAAACAGAAGTGAGTTTGCAAGATTTAGATGTGGGGTAGCTCCACTAAAAATAGAAACTGGAAGGTATGAAAGAAAAGAAGTCCACGAGAGGACATGTTTTAACTGTAGCTCTACTATTGAAGATGAACTTCATGTCATTTCAAAATGCCCATTATATGTAGATTTAAGACAAATCATGATACATGAAGCTATACATTTTAATGAATGTTTTAATATGGAGGCTTTGATCTGTCGTCTTGAAGTCGAGTTGCCGAGATAATTAAGTCGACTTGCCGAGATAATTATCTCAACAAGTCGACCTACGTTTTGCATTAAGTCGACTTAATCACATCTTATGTCAACTTGCCGAGATATTTATCACGACAGGTCGACATAATTATCTCGACAAGTCGACTTAGAATATCTCGGCAACTCGTCCTAAAGTAGAGATGTACGGAAGCGTTAGGTATCTTTTTTTGTTGTTGTTACTATCGAATTGTTGCGTTATATCATACTTATCGATATATTTTATGTCGCTTGTGTGGCGATACCGCAATAAGTTATGAAAAATATTGCGAAATATTGTGTTATATCAAAACAATACGATATAAAAAATATTGACTTGAAGTAGATGTCGATATATTTATGTCGATACAAATCATAATCGAATTTGATTATATCGATTAAAATGACAATCAATTTTATAAATATATTTATCTTAATACTTCGAAAACAATACCGTTATATGTTTCTTATATTACGATATATCGATATACTAGAAATGATTTGTTGCGTTATTTCGACATACATGTATATCGATTTAATATATAGAATGTTTGACACCGGCGGGCTTGATACGGTGCTTTTGGTCCGGGATTCGCTTTTTGTCCGATAATTTTGCTTTTTATCCGACACTTTTGCTTTTTTTTCGTTGCTTTCGGTCCGTAAAAAGCAAAACGGACCGAAAGCAACGGACAAAAAGCAAAAGTGTCGGGCGAAAAGCAAACTTATCTGACAAAAAGCAAAACGGACCAAAAGCAAGGAACAAAAAGTAAAAGTGTCGGACAAAAAGCAAAATTATCAGACAAAAGGCAAAAGAGGACAAAAAGGAAATCCCGGACCAAAAGCACCGTATCAAGCGCGCTGGTGTCAATCATTCTATATATTAAAATCGATATATGTCAAAATAACGCTACAAATCATTTTCTAGTATATCGATATATCGTACTATAAGAAACATATAACGGTATTCATCTCGAAATATTGAGATAAATATATTTACAAAATTGATTGTCACTTTTAATCGATATAATTAAATTCGATTATAATTTGTATCGACATAAATATATCGAAATCTACTTCAAGTCAATGTTTGTTATATCGAATTGTTTTGATATAACACAATATTTCGCAATATTTTTCATAATTTATTGCGGTATCGCCACACAATTCGACATAAAATATATCGATAAGTATGATATAACGCAACAAGTCAATAGCAACAACAACAAAAAAAAAGATACCTTTACGCTTCCGTAGAGATGAATGCCCACATCTGCCGTCGTGTTGTCGTGTTGTCGAGATAATTAAGTCGACTTGCCGAGATAATTACCTCAACAAGTCGACTAACGTTTTGCATTAAGTCGACTTAATCACATCTTATGTCGTCTTGTCGTGATAATTACCTCGGCAAGTGGACATGAGATGTGATTAAGTCGACTTAACGCAAAACGTAAGTCGACTTGTTGAGATAGTTATCTTGGCAAGTCGACTTAATTTTCTCGGCAACTCGACTTCACGGCGGCAGATGTGGGCATTCATCTCGACTTCAGGACGAGTTGCCGAGATATTCTAAGTCGACTTGTCGAGATAATTATGTCGACTTGTCGTGATAAATATCTCGGCAAGTCGATATAAGATGTGATTAAGTCGACTTAATGCAAAACGTAAGTCGACTTGTTCAGATAATTATCTCGACAAGTCGACTTAATTATCTCGGCAACTCGACTTCACGACGGCAGATCAAAGCCTACATATTTTAACCTACTATCAGATAGTAAAAAAATTATATTTTTATTTAATAACGACAATGTTGCTGCTATAGTTGCCAAAACCTGCAACAATATTTTATTGAGAATGAACGGTATTTTATTTCACTAGTTCTTAAAGAAACAAATGTTTTACTCTCATTTAATATAGATGGACACTGTAAATTTTAAATGTAAATGTGTAAAAATATGTTTATATGTATAAATTGTGTCTTAAAAGTCTCTCATACATCTTTTTAAGATTGGTGCATACAATGCAAATGTTTTAATGTTTTATGTTTATTTCTGTGAATCTCGTTTTATGTTTGTATGTGGTGAGACTATAATGAAATATTGAATCCTGAATCCTGAATCTAAAATAAATAAATCACTATCAAACAAAAATGTGTTTTTTTTTTTCTCTCCAAAATTTAATTGAACACTAGGGCGAAGTATGTCCCTTTCACATTAATTAAAAGGAATAATCTGGCACAATTTGCCCGTTTAATTTGTGTCCAATTGGGAGAAACTAATTAGTTAACATATGTTAACAAATAATAATAATAATAAATTTATTTTATTATAGTGTCAGTTAACAGTACTTGTTCAGCAGGAACTGCTTAGCTGACATAACTGCGTTTGAAATTTGTGCTATTCCTTGATCTATCGTGGACTAATTATGCCTACATGACATAAAACTAATCAGTTTATCTATTTACATTAGGGGCCTCGGTGGCCGAGTGGTCTAAGTAGTTACTACTGTAATCACTAGCCAGTCAACACTGAGGTTGTGAGTTCGAACCCCGCTCGTGCGGGTGCACTCGACTCCAATCTTAATTGACTAGGATTGTCAGTTTTCCTATCGAAGGTCGGTGGTTTTCTCCGGGCGCTCCGGCTTCCTCCACCAATAAAAACTGGCCGCCACGAAATAGCCCAAAAGCGGTGCTTAAAAGTGGCGTTAAAACACCAAAAATCAAATCTATTTACATTAAGATAGAAATATTATAAAAGTTTATTTATTTCAGTTGTGGATTATCATTCATCTTGAATTATTAGTGTCCACTAGAATATCCATTAAAATATGATTTGTTAATATAAAACCTGTTTGCCTCTTTCTTTTCTTTTTTTTTTTCTTTTTTTCTTTCCTTTTTCTTAACACAAATAAAATGAATTACCTGTTCCCATAATGAGCATGGTGGCGTTACAGACGAATTTTTCTTGTTTGGAGAAATAAGACGTTTAGCACATTTTTATACAAAGATTAACTGTAATTATGTCAGATTAAAATTTTGTGCTATACTTTAATTAGTCGTCTTTATTCATTGTGTTAAATTAAAAGACATAGTTTGTTTCTAATATAAATAAAATCCAGTCTAATTTCTACCCTAAAGATTTGGCACGATTAATTACTACAAGAATAACAATCGACGTGAAATACCATCTTAACCTTGGTCAGCATTGGATTAATAACTATATTTATATTATTTGAACAATAGTTGCATTTATTTACACTTATAGGATATTCTCCAAATTTTCAGTGAAGAATGCTTCAAAATATGCGTTTTGCAAATAACGCTTCGTCTCACGGGTATAACTTTCCAAGTATTTGTTACTAAGGTATTGGGATTATTTACTTAATTTTAACAACAAATTCACAGTTCATAAGTTGCTTTATGTTAGTTAGTAAAATGCAAGGCTCATATCAATTTCTTAGTTTTCATAAGACTGGTCTTGTTATTGTTTACTTTTATGTTTCGATAAATTTATGTTTACATTCAACTTATAAAAATATGACATTAACGCTTCTTCTTTGGAAGAAACAATTAATATTATACTAAAATTAAAGACATGCAACAAAGAAATAGTAAAACAGAGTGTTGTTGATAGGGTACAAAGTACTCATGAACTTAAAGATATATTTTTTCTTTTGGATGTTGATTAAAATATAGTGACCTACATTGTATACGAACTACTTAAACCATTTGTCAAAAAAATCAGATTAATAACAATCCTGTTAATCTTCTTAACTTCATATGTATATGAATATTTTTAAAACATGTTAAATGTAGTATGGTGGTATAAGATATCTACTTATATTAATCATCTACTGACAATGAATATTGGTAGTCTGCTAGTAAGTAACGCTTTCGTCATTTATGATTTAAATTAATTGTTTTCCAATAAATAAATTAATTAATTAATTAATTAATTAATCAATCAATCAATCAAAAAATTGACCAATCAATAAATCAATCAATGATCAATAATTCAATAAATAAATGAATAAATAAATAGATAAATAAATTATTATATTATATTATTATATATATTTTATATATATTATATATAGCTATACTAATTAAATAAACGTTTAAGGTATCAAAAGTCATGAAATTTCCGAATGCAAATACGTTAAATGTATAAAAAGTCATGACATTTCCGAATGCAATGGTTACAGGTTTTCTGATGCAACATTTCTGATACATTTTCCCAAGCCAACATTTCTGATGCAAAGGTTTTTTAAATTTCAGGATCGCCAGAAAATAAAGATTTTTTTTAATATGTTGTTCATTCACCCAAAGACATGAACTATGCATCTAGCTATACTGCTATATATTTTATCGAACATTTATTTTCAACTTCGACTGAATTTTACTTGAATGCCGTTGTAAAAGTGCGTTTAATAGTGGAGCAGATGGCAGATTGCTAAAAAATAATTCAATTCAATTCAAATTCTTTATTTAACCTCAGACACATTTTAAAAGTGTACAAGAGGACAATAAACTAACATTGTATACATAAATGATGGCAGGCAAGACTGACAAAGTACAGAGAAAATACAGTAAAATCGAACATATGATATCATGCGTCAACACACTATTGAAATTCAATCTGATACATGGTTTTTCTAAAAATACTTCGAGATTTTTTTCAGGAACAATGACAGGTTTTTGTATAGTCGAACATGACATAAAGATAACATATTTTTCATTTTTATCTGACTTGGATTTTTACTATAGTAACTAGGTACATATGTTTTTCTAAGTTTTACAAATGGTGGAAATACACATTGGAATAAATAATGAAATTCATTCCCGATTCCGTTTTTGCAAAGGTTACAAATTATATTCTCTTTAGGTATCCCGGCCCATCTTCCAGTTTCTATAGGAAATCTAATATTTGCAAATCTGAATTTAGTAATGAATACCCTTTCATGTCCCTCGAGATTCATCAAATATTTTTCCAATTCAAACTTGTTTTTGAATAGAGAATAGAATTCTCCCCTTGAAGAATTTTGAATCTGAAATACCCAATGCTGAATGAATTGATCGGTTAGTCTTTGTCTTATATTTAATTTAAGCTGGTTTTTATCCATATAGTTTTATGTAATTCAAACATTACTTCTTACATAATTGTTGATAATTTATGATCATTTATCAATGAATTATTCCAAAAAGACAACATTTTTTGTTTCATTACAATTTCTAAAGGATATCTCCCAGCTTCACCATAAACCATGTAGTTAGGTGTGGTGTTTCTTATTTTCAGTATTTTTTTGCAAAATTGAAGATGCATTTTTTCTATACAATTTTTATTTTCATCAAGATTCAAAATATCTATAATACTGTCATCTGGAATAATGTAATCAGATTACACACTAGTTTTGGAATTAAAATCACCAATCAAACCATATTCTAGTTTTTCTTTTTTCAAAAATAACATCAGTTCATTTTCAATTTCGTCAAACGCTTCAACATTTGAGTACTTAGTATTTTCAGGTGGTATGTATATGCAACCCAATAAAATATCTGTCTTTAGATTAAAAAGCAATTTTGAAATCTGCATCCAATAAACAAATTGACAGTCAGTTTCATGAACTGTAATATACTTTTCAAATATTTTTTGTAAACAATTGCTATACCACCTGACGCTTCTTGGAATTTGTTTCTGTTTTTAGTTTTACGAACAAAGGCAGATCAAGAATATAAAATTCAGTTAGTTTAGTTTCTACAAATAAAAGAATATCATTTTTGTTTATAAGATCAACAAACTCTGGACATAACAATTTAGATTTTATACCACAAATGTTTAATAAGCAACATTTCAAGTCATTCACATTGCATGGTTGTCCTCCTGTACTGTACCCCTAACTTCTTATCCTATCACGGTTTTCCGATCTAGGGGGGATGGGGGTAGTACCGCTTATAGTCGATGTAAAGTTTATCGTCCCGTAAGACAGCATGGTGGTTCTTACTTCTTGCGTCTTTCAGAATTGGTATCAGTTGTCTTCGTCTGTCGGCTACTTCGAAGGGAAATTGCTCATAGACAGAATATCTAGGATTTTCTCGTAACTTGTCTCTGGCGATTACAAGAACTCTGTCCCTGTCCTTGCGCCTTGAATTTGGCAACAATACTTCTGGGAGTACCATCTGTTTTTGGCTTAAGCCTATGGACTACATGGAAGTTGATGTTATCCTTAATTTTTAGCACTTCACCCATGAATTCTTTGACTTTAGCTTCAGCGTCTCTAGTTCGTTATAATTTTCAACGTCAGCTATGCCTTTGAAAATTAAATTGTCCCTCATTGATCTTGTTTGAGACTCAACCACTCTCTCCCTCAATGCATTGTTCTCCTGACTTATTTGCTGATTTTCATATTCGACACGAGCAAGTCTATCTCGAAATTCATTTGTCTGTTTCCCGTAATTTTCCATACTTGAGTTTACTTAATAGTTGTAAATTGACTCTTAATATCTCCAATGTCTTTGTCAAGTGACTTACAGTGACTTTCAGTACTCAACATTCGGTTACATAAGTCATCTAGAATGTTTAATTTGGACAGTTTTTCGTTGACTTCAACCATGAATCTGTCTAGACGTTCATAAAATGGCATAGGTGGAGACTGCGAGAATGATAGTTGTTGTGGGAGGAGTGCCGGTTGAAAAGGTGTCTGTCTGTACATTAGCTGGTGTCGGATGAGGGGCCTGCATTTGAATAGGTACTGTAGACGGACTATATGGAGAATCATGAATGCCTTGACCACATTATGCCTGATGAGCAGCACTATATGCTCCACAAATCGTAAAGTCATTTTGAGGAGTTGTGAGTTGTGTTGTCGTTGCATTTGCGGTTGCCGCCATTTTTGTAGGTCTCGTAGCTGGGGACGGGGTACTTGTGCCACTTCGATTCCTTTTTTTACTTGTTTCCATTGAAATCACCACATAAATTTACTAGTTTCATTATATTGAATCTAATCACTACTGTTTCCCATTATTGATTTATCCTTTACTTGTCCAAAATCAACAGTAATCACCATTGTGTACACCTGAGTTTTCTCACGACTCCTACCTGCCCGCCATCTTGCTTGTCTGTATGCTGTATATGTAATAAATCGTTTTGTTCAAAAAGGAGTGTTAAAAGACATATAACAGAGCAACACAACAATCGCTAAATCGAATGTAATGTCTGTAAAGCTTCTTTCAAGCGCAGAAGCTTTTATACAGCACATCAGTTAAAATGTTTTACAAAGGAAAGTGAATGCAATGCAAATAACAATAATTTATGAAATGTCATCATTTATTTCACATGTTTCAGGATATTAAACTGGAATTACCAGCAAGCATATGTAGAAAATTAGAAAATGATGAACAAGTAAGTAAGCTTAAATCAGTTGACCTCATAATAATTATAAAATGTTATATGTAGAATAAATTTGAAAATTTTGACACTCCTTGCGAAGGGGATAGGAATATATTATCGTGGCTTTGTTTGTCCAAACGAAAGAAATCTATATTAAAATTGAATATAACCTTGATCTACAGAAAACTTAAATATTTTAATAGTAGAATTGTGTGTGGGTCGATTCAAGTGTTGGTGGAGGTTTCTCATAGGTATCTTCAGCTCAGTAGTCAGCACTACTGTGTTGACATTCGTTATCATTGATATGGTCATAATTATAAATTAACTACAATGTATGAACAAAACTTAGAATTTTTCGAAATTCTAAGGATTTTCTTCCCCAGGTATAGATGACCTTAGTTGTATTTGGCAAAACCTTTCGGAATTTTAAGTCTTCAATGCTCTTCAACTTCGTATTTGATTTGGCTTTTTCAACTTTTTTTATTCGAGCGTCACTGACAATACGCGCGTCTGGCGTACAAAAGCTTACTCCTGGTATTTATGAGGAGTTTCTTGTCATCTTGT